CGCTGGCTGAAACAGCCACGCTGGAGATTCGTGGTGCTTTTTTGCCTGGGAATCTTCTGTCCTGGCTCCCTGTTTCAGTCCCTTTTTTATCTGTTGAATGGGCAACTCTGTCTCCCAGGTGCTCCAGTCACCAGCTGAAACAGCGCCCAGACTCGTGTGAGCTTTTTGTGTGGAGACCCACTGCACCAGCCAAACAGCTGCGCTGGTGACCTGTGGGGCTCCTCTGCCTGGGAATTTTCTGGTTTGTGGGCAATAAAAATCTGTCTGGAAATGCGGCATCCACTCACCTTGTGCACGCTCACTGGGAGCTGCAATTCAGAGCTGCTCCTAATCGGCCATCTTGGATCCCTCTCCTCATTTAATTTTTAATAATTGGACTGTCATTAATTTTATTTCTCCATAGCATCCAGTATACCTAGAGTGTACTGGTTTAGAGTACCATCTCTGGAATATGACCAGTGATGGATCACTATGGTAACATTGAGCAAGTATTTTGGATTCCTCAAATCTTAATTTCTTAATCTATATGATGGAGTTAATAACATTATTTAATGAGAATTTATAAGGATTAAACAAAATTTGTGTGACGCACTTAGCATAATACCTGGCAATGGTAATCACTATTATGTTAAATAAGTAGGCTGGGTATGGTGGGCCCACGCCTGTAATTCCAGCAGTTTGGGAGGGCAAGGTGGGCAGGTCACTTGAGCTCAGGAGTTTAAGACCAGCCTGGCCAACATGGTAAAACCCTATCTCTAATAAACATATATGAAATTAGCCAGGCATGGTGGTTCGTGCCTGTAGTCCCAGCTATTTGGGAGGCTAAAGGAGGAGAATCGCTTGAGCTTGGGAGGCAGAAGTTGCGGTGAGCTGAGATCATGCCATTGCTCTCCAGCCTGGGTGACAGAGCCAGACTCTCAAAAAAAAAAAAAAAAATTATGGTGTAAATAAGTGAATGGGAAAAGTTCTGCTGCTTTTTTATTTATATATTTAGAATGAGAGTCATCAGAGAGGTTTTCCTATATGGTAATGCTAATGTACATCAGTTGCTTAAAGAGAGATACTTGACTATAAAATGTTATGGTTATAATTTCTTTTGCAGTAACTGTATGCTAGACATAATGCTAAATGCTTTAATATAGACTATCATGCTTTAATCTTAACCATTGAAAAGGCACATATTCTTCCCTGTTTTACAGATGAGAAACTGAAACTCAGAGAAATCACGACTAGTAAGCCAAGATACAAATTGAGGTTGTCTAGCTTTAAAATCTATACTCTGGCGCATGATAACTATACCAGTCTCAAATTGAGGCATGTCATATGCTTATTTAAAAACTCCAGAGCTAATGTGGTATCAGATGGAGCAAGTCAGTTATAACAAACTAAAATTTTTTATTAAAGTTGGCCAAGAAAAAAAATAAAATTTTGAGAATTTACAGTAGCATTAATAAAAGGAAATAGGGGAACATACTACAAAACAGGATGGAAGTACTTTAACCCCATGAGATATTTTGGGGTTATAAATTTGTAAACTAAAATTTAAGGAACTGATATGCCTTTTAAAATATGTATTGTTTTATTTGTATAAATTTAAGGGTTACAAATATAGCTTTGTTATATGGGTATCTTGTGTGGTGGTGAAATCTGGGCTTTTAGTATAACCATCACCTGAGTAGTGTACATTATACCCAGTAAGTAATTTCTCACCCCTCACGACACCACTCCCAGCCCTCCAGGTCTCCAGTGTCTATTATCTTACACTCTATGTCCATGTGTACACAGATTATTTAGCTCCTGCTTATAGTGAGAATATGTGGTATTTGACCTTCTGAGTTCTTTTTTTCATTTTGAGATGGTTTTGCTCTGTCATCCAGGCTGGAGTGCAGTGGTGCAAACACTGCTCACTGCAGCCTCAACCTCCTTGGCTCAAGTGATTCTCCCACTTCAGCCTCCCAAGCATATGAGAGTACAAGTGGTGTTATTGTACCCAGCTAATTTAAATAAATATTTGTAGAGATAGTTTCTTACCATGTGTCCCAGGCTGGTCTCAAACTCCTGGGCTCAAGCAGTCATCCTGCCTTGGCCTCCCAAAGTGTTAGGATTATAGGTATGAGCTTCTAATCTGAGTTGTTTTACTTAAGATGAAGGTCTCCAGTTCTATCTATGTTAGTACAAAAAACATGAGTTTGTTCCTTTTTTATTCCTGAATAGTGTTCCATTGTATATGTATATAGATGTGTGTTTTGCTAAATTTAAAATTTACTAGAAAGTGAACTTCTAGGCCGGGCACAGGCTCACACCTGTAATCCTAGCACTTTGGGATGTTGAGGTGGGCGGATCATGAGGTCAGGAGTTTAAGACCAGCTTGACCGACATGGTGAAACACCATCTGTACTAAAAATACAGAAGTTAGCTGGGCGTGGTATCATGTGCCTGTAATCCCAGCTACTCAGGAGGCTGAGGCAGGAGAATCGCTTGAACCTGGGAGATAGAGGTTGCAGTGAGCCGAGATCGTGCCACTGCATTCCAGCCTGGGCAACAGAGTGAGACTCTGTCTCAGAAAAAAAAAGTGAATTTCTATAGGATAAAGATTCTCTTTTTTTTTTTTTAATTTTTTATTGGATTTTAGGTTTTGGGGTACATGAGCAGAGCATGCAAGACAGTTGCGTAGGAACACACATGGCAGTGTGCTTTGCTTTCCTTCTCCCCTTCACCCACATTTGGCATTTCTCCCCAGGCTATCCCTCCCCACCTCCCCCTCCCACTGGCCCTCCCCTTTTCCCCCAGTAGACCCCAGTGTTTAGTACTCCCCTTTCTGTGTCCATGTGTTCTCATTTTTCATCACCCACCTATGAGTGAGAATATGCGGTGTTTCATTTTCTGTTCTTGTGTCAGTTTTCTGAGGATGACATTCTCCAGATTCATCCATGTCCCTACAAACGACACAAACTCATCATTTCTGATTGCTGCATAATATTCCATGGTGTATATGTGCCACATTTTTCCAATCCAGTCTATTATCAATGGGCATTTTGGTTGATTCCAAAATCTTCAATAAAATATTGGCAAGCCGAATGCAACAGCAAATCAAAAAACTTATTCACCATGATCAAGTAGGATTCATCCCGGAAATGCAAGGCTGGTTCAACATACGCAAGTCTATCAATGTAATTCACCACATAAACAGAACCAAAAACAAAAACCACATGATTATCTTCGACGCAGAGAAGGCATTTGACAAAATTCAACAGCCCTTTATGCTAAAAACCCTCAATAAACTCGGTATCGATGGAACGTATCTCAAAGTAATAAAAGCTATTTATGACAAACCAACAGCCAATATCATACTGAATGGGCAAAAACTGGAAGCATTCCCTTTGAAATCTGGCACTAGACAAGGATGCCCTCTTTCACCACTCCTATTCAATATAGTTCTGGAAGTTCTAGCCAGAGCAATCAGGCAAGAAAAAGAAATAAAGGGTATTCAAATAGGAAAGGTGGAAGCCAAATTGTCTCTATTTGCAGACGACATGATAGTATACCTGGAAGACCCCATCACCTCAGCCCAAAAACTCCTGAAACTGATAAGCAACTTCAGCAAAGTCTCAGGATATAAAATCAAGGATAAAGATTTTCTTACCACTTATTTAAAAAATTCTTTATTGTCGGTAGTCAACTTAAGAAGTACTAGTTTATTGAACTGATTTGAAGTTATCAAAAACTTAAGTATAGAGGTGAAAATAATTTTTTAGATCTGGAAAACATTACATGGTTGCTCAGGAAATACATATAGTGAAACTAGTGCAGTGTATTCTGAACTTAGAATAAATCATTTCAGCAATATAGATTTCTGGGTAGTCTGTATTTCATTAGTTATTATTAGTTATTTCTGATTTTAAATACCATATAGTATACATATCTTTAGCATATAATTCAGTTTCCTTCTTTTTTTTTTTTTTTTTTTTTTTTTTTTTAATTTGAGACAGCATCTTGTTCTGTTGCCCAAGCTGGAGTACAGTGGTAACATCATGGCTCACTACAGCCTCAATTTCTTGTTCAAGTGATCTTCCCACCTCAGCCTACTGACTAGCTGGGAGTACAGGTGCACACCATCACGCTTGGCTACTTTTTGGGCTTTTTTTTTTTAAATACAGATGGAGTTTCACCATTTTGCCCAGGCTGATCTCAAAGTCCTGAACTCAATTGATCTACCCACCACAGCCTCCCAAAGTGTTGGGATTACAGGCATGTGCCACCATGCCTGGCCCCCATCACTGTTTTAACTAGTGTTGCCATAGGTTTATTTTAACTTTCCTTGAATTTCAGAGAAATGGAATCATACACTCTTCTGCATCTGTAATTTTTTTGAACATGCCTGTGAGATGTATCCATGTTGTGCATAGCAGTAATTCATTATCTTACATTGCTATATAGTTTTCCGTTATATAAATATGTTCATCTGTACTTCTGTTGATGGATATTTGGATTGTTTCCAGTTTTTGGATATTAGAAACAAAAATACCTGAATATTCTTATTTCTGTTGGTTATCTATCTAAAAGAGTAATTGTTGGACATTGCACAGGCAGGTGTCTAACTTCAGTAGAGATACTGGTGAAGCAGATGTACTCATTTACACTCTTAGCAAGAGTATATTCCAGTCTCTCACCAGTGCTTGGCATTGTCAGTCTTTTTACTTTTGCCCATTCTAAGGGCTGTTTAATGGTTTTCATTGCCATTTTAATTTTGCATTTCCCTAATGATTATGAAATTGAGCACCTGTTGATATGTTTATTGACCATTTGCCTATTCAGACTTTTGTCCATTTTGAAGACAGGATTATTTTACTTTTGCTTTGTAGGAGTTCTTTATATATTTCTAGTTATGAATTCTTTGATGAACACGTTATAAATATTATTTCTCTTAATCTGTGACATGCCTTTTCAGTCTCTTGATGAGTTTTGATGAACAGAAGTTTTTTTTTTTTTTTTTTTTTTAAATTCAAGACAGAGTCTTACTCTGTCACCCAGGCTGGAGTGCAGTGGTGCAATCATGGCTTACTGCAGCCTTGACCTCCCAGGCTCAAGTGATCCTTCCACCTCAACCTTCTGAGTTGCTGGGGCTATAGGCATGTACTATCATGTCTAGCTAATACTTTTGTAGAGATGGGGTCCCACTGTGTTGCTCTGGCTGGTCTCGGGCTCCTGGGCTCAAGTGATCTTCCTGCCTTGGCCTTTCAAAGTGTTTTGGGATTGCAGGCATGAGGAACCATGCTTGACCCCTTTTTTTTTAGTTTTTTCTTTCTCAAAGCCAAACCAGGCCTGGTGCAGTGGCTCACGCCTGTAATCCCAGCACTTTGGGAGGATGAGGTGGGTAGATCACCTGAGGTTGGGAGTTTGAGACCAGCCTGACCAACATGGAGAAACCCCATCTCTACTAAAAATACAAAATTAACCGGGCATGGTGGTGCATGCCTGTAATCTCAGCTACTTGGGAGGCTGAGGAAGAAGAATTGTTTGAAGCCGGGAGGCAGAGGTTGCAGTGAGCCGAGATCATGCAATTGCACTCCAGCCTGGGCAACAAGAGCAAAACTCCATCTCAAAAAAAAAAAAAAAAAAAAAAGCAAATCCAGTGTGGTTCTTTATTTTTCTTTCATGTCAGATGGGTAATGTGCTGATGTGTTAACAAACTTTCAAGGTGGCACATCTCACAGATGGCTGTGAACACCCAGTTATCATGCTCATCAGCTACAAAAGGATCAGAAGTTCTTAATTTTAATGAAATACAGTTTATTGATGTTTTCATTTGTGGTTAGTGTACTTGCGTCCTGTTTGAAAAATCTTTGCCTACCCCAAGATCTTGAAGATATTTCCCTACTTAAATCTAGAAGCTTTATTTGTTTTTATCTTTGACATTTAAATCTATGATTTCTTTCAAATTAATTTCGTGTATGGTGTGAGGCAGTCAAGCATGTTATTCCCCAATTTGGTTATCAAATTGCTTCAGCATCATTTATTTTAAAAATCATCCCTTTCCTATAGAATTGTGTATTTGTCATAAGCAGGTGACGGTGACTATATATGTGAATCTCTACCATTTTTTTTAGTAAAATCTGATATATTCCTGTAGAGTATAAGTTCTAGAAAGCTTGGACTTTTGTCTAATTTGCGCACTATACTGTACTCACTACCTAGCACAGTGTCAGGCACATGATAGACATTGGATTAATATTTGCTGATTGGAAGAAAGAACTCATAAAAGAAAAATCTACAGAAAATCTGAAAAATGTTGGTAAGTAGAATAGAGTTAAGCTGTTCCCAGTTGCACAGCATGCTTACATATGCAGTAGAACTGAAAGTGTTTTTACAGAATATTCTCAGCTTCTAACTTCTAGAATTTCACCTGCTTTTAATTCCCCCATTATAAGAAATTGTCTGATCAAATGGTTCTACTGAACATGAGGTCTTTGGCCAGGGAATTTCTGTTTAGTTCTTAGAGCCGAGTTTTCCTTTTTCTTTTCTATTGTCATCATATATATCTATGTATATCTATCTATCTCTGTATATTGTTTACTGGAGACATTTTGTGAGGATCTGCTATTCTTCTGACACATGAAACTTTTTTGACTTTTATGTTTAGCCCTTAAATTTCTGTAAAATGTATCAGTTTAAATTCTAAACGTAACAAGTTAATTTAAAACAAGGGATGAACGTGAAAAAATCTTCATCAAACTGTTTATCTCATTTAGATGATAAATGATAATTTTTACCATGTCTTTGGTTTTTGTAGAAATCGTCACAGAAGGAAAAAGGAAAAAATCATCTTCTGATTTATCAGAGGTATGCATTTGTTTTGCTTTTAACCTATTATGTTTGGAATTACTAATGCTGAAAGTATTTTGCTGTTAGTCTTTTTATTTATTTATTTATTTATTTATTTATTTATTTTTTTGAGGCTTTTCTCAGAATGTATTTATTGTTAAACAATAAACAATTGTATAATGAAGTTACTACAATAGGTTCTGCTGTAATACTTGTTTTGAAAATACGAGTTTGTTCCAACAAGATCCATATGTTAAGGAAGTGTTTGAACATAATACAATTTCATATTTGTTTGTGTGTGATTTTGTCTACTTGAAACACTAGTTGAATGCAGAAAACTACCCAGATTACCTGAGCTGTGTAAGAATACACAAAACTCACACAGATACACCCCTCAAACATTACCAGTGACCTCAGCCCACTGCCTGAGTTATGAGCCACACCCATCTACATATGGTGTAATAAATTTCCCTTTGATTTCAAATAATGCTTTTTCTGTTATTTCACGACCCATAAGCTGTGACCTTTCTGAAGCCCATTTCCACAAGCAAATGCCATGTCTCTTTCAAGATAAAGGGTTATATTTGCTGTAGTATTTATGCATTTCTTAAACATTTATCATGTGTAAATTCATGCTACCATTTTTTTTTATTGCATTTTACGTTTTGGGGTACATGTGCAGAACATGCAAGATAGTTGCATAGGTACACATATGGCGGTGTGTTTTGCTGCCTTCCTCCCCTTTACCCACATTTGGCATTTCTCCCCAGGCTATCCCTCCCCTGCTCCCCACCGCTGTCCCTCCCCTATTCCCTACAATAGACACCAGTGTGTAGTACTCCCTTCCCTGTGTCCATGTGTTCTCATTTTTCATCACCTGCCTATGAGTGAGAATATGCGGTTTTTCATTTTCTTTTCTTGTGTCAGTTTGCTGAGAATGATGTACTCCAGATTCATCCATGTCCCTACAAAGGACACGAACTCATCATTTTTGATTGCTGCATAATATTCCATGGTGTATATGTGCCACATTTTCCCTGTCCAATCTATCATTGATGGGCATTTGGGTTGGTTCCAGGTCTTTGCTATTGTAAACAGTGCTGCAGTGAACATTTGTGTGCATGTGTCCTTATAGTAGAACGATTTATAGTCCTTTGGATATATACCCAGTAATGGGATTGCTCAGTCAAATGGAATTTCTATTTCTAAGGCCTTGAGGAATCGCCACACTGTCTTCCACAATGGTTGAACTAATTTACACTCCCACCAACAGTGTAAAAGTGTTCCTTTTTCTCCACATCCTCTCCAGCATCTGTTGTCTTCAGATTTTTTAATGATCGCCATTCTAACTGGCGTGAGTTGGTATCTCCATGTGGTTTTGATTTGCATCTCTCTAATGACCAGTGATGATGAGCATTTTTTCATACGTTTGTTGGCCTCATGTATGTCTTCTTTTGTAAAGTGTCTGTTCATATCCTTTGCCCATTTTTGAATGGACTTGTTTGTTTTTTTCCTGTAGATCTGTTTGAGTTCTTTGTAAATTCTGGATATCAGCCCTTTGTCAGATGGGTAAACTGCAAAAATTTTTTCCCATTCTGTTGGTTGCCGATTCACTCTAGTGACTGTTTCTTTTGCTGTGCAGAAGCTGTGGGGTTTGATTAGGTCCCATTTGTCTATTTCGGCTTTTGTTGCCAATGCTTTTGGTGATTTGTTCATGAAGTCCTTGCCTACTCCTATGTCCTGAATGGTTTTGCCTAGATCTTCTTCTAGGGTTTTTATGGTATCAGGTCTTTTGTTTAAGTCTTTAATCCATCTGGAGTTAATTTTAGTGTAAGGTGTCAGGAAGAGGTCCAGTTTCTGCTTTCTGCACACAGCTAGCCAGTTTTCTCAACACCATTTATTAAACAGGGAATCCTTTCCCTATTGCTTGTTTTTGTCAGGTTTGTCAAAGATCGTATGGTTGTAGATATGCTGAGTTGCCTCCGAGGCCTCTGTTCTGTTCCATTGGTCTATATCTCTGTTTTGGTACCAGAACCATGCTGTTCTGATTACTGTAGCCTTGTAATATAGTTTGAAGTCAAGTAGTGTGATGCCTCCTGCTGTGTTCTTTTTGCTTAGAATTGACTTGGCTATGCAGGCTCTCCCTTGGTTCCATATGAAGTTTAAGGTGTTTTTTTTCCAATTTTGTGGAAACTTGCGGTAGCTTGATGGTGATAGCATTGATTCTGTAAATTACTTTGGGCAGTATGGCCATTTTCACAATATTGATTCTTCCTAACCATGAACATGTTATGGTTCTCCATCTGCTTGTGTCCTCTCTTATTTCATTGAGCAGTGGTTTGTAGTTCTCCTTGAAGGGGTCCTTTACATTTCTTGTTAGTTTTATTCCTAGATATTTTATTCTCTTTGTAGCAATTGTGAATGGCAGTTAATTCTTGATTTGGCTGTAAGTCTGTTATTGGTATATAGGAATGCTTGTGATTTTTGCACATTGATTTTGTATCCTGAGACTTTGCTGAAGTTGCTTATGAGTTTCAGGAGATATTGGGCTGAGATGATGGGGTCTTCTAGTTATATAATCAAGTCGTCTGCAAATAGAGAGAATTTGACTTTTTTCTTTCCGATTTGAATACCCTTTGTTTATTTTTCTTGCCTGATTGCTCTGGCTAGAACTTACTGTACTATATTGAATAGGAGTGGTGAGAGAAGGCATCCTTGTCTTGTGCCAGATTTCAAAAGGAATACTTCCAGTTTTTCCCATTCAGTATGATATTGGTTTGTTGTAAGTAGCTTTCATTATTTTGAGATACGTTTTGTCAATACCTAGTTTATTGAAGGTTTTTAGCATAAAGGGCTGTTGAACTTTGTCAAAGGCCTTCTCTGTATCAATTGAAATAATCATGTGGTTTTTGTCTTTGGTTCTGTCTATGTGGTGAATTATGTTTATATGCTTGTGTATGTCGAACCAGCCTTGCATCCCTGGGATGAATCCCACTTGATCATGGTGGATAAGCTTTTTGATGTGCTGTTGCAATTGGCTTGCCCGTATTTTATTGAAGATTTTTGCATCTATGTTCATCATGGATATTGGCCTGAAGTTTTCTTTTCTTGCTGAGTCTCTGCCGGGTTTTGGTATCAGAATGAGGTTGGTCTCATAAAATGATTTGGGAAGAATTCCCTCTTATTAGATTATTTGGAATAGTTTCAGAAGGAGTGGTACCAGCTCCTCTTTGTATGTCCGGTAGAATTCGGCTGTGAACCCATCTGGACCTGGGCTTTTTTTGTGTGGTAGGCTCTTAATTGCTGCTTCAACTTCAGACCTTATTATTGGTCTATTCAGGGTTTTGACTTCTTCCTGGTTTAGGCTTGCGAGGATGCATGTGTCCAGGAATTTATCAATTTACTAGTTTATGTGCATAGAGTTGTTTGTAATAAACTCTGATGATGGTTTGAATTTCTGTGGAATCTGTGGTGATAGTTTTTTTTATCGTTTTTTATTGCATCTATTTGTTTATTCTCTAATTTTTTTTTTATTAATCTGGCTAGTGGTCTATTTTGTTGATCTTTTCAAGTAACCAGCTCCTGGATATATTGATTTTATGAAGGGTTTTCTGTGTCTCTATCTCGTTCAGTTCTGTTCTGATCTTAGTTATTTCTTGTCTACTGCTAGGTTTTGAGTGTTTTTGATCTTGCTCCTGTAGCTCTTCAATTTTGATGATAGGGTTTCAATTTTAGATCTTTCCATGCTTCTCCTGTGGGCATTTATTGCTATATATTTTCCTCTAGATACAGCTTTAAATGCTTGTTCCAGGTCTGAGTTCAAGTCTTGGATATCCTTGTTAATTTTCTATCTGGTTGATCTGTCTAATATTGACAATGGGGTGTTAAAGTCTTCCACTATTATTGTGTGGGTGTCTAAGTCTCTTTGTAAGTCATTAAGAACAAGCCTTATGTATCTGGGTGCTCCTCTATTGGGTGCATATATTTTTAGGATTGTTAGCTCTCCATTTGCTTGGTAAATCTTCCTCCATTTTTTTTATTTTGAGCCTATGTGTATCCTTGCATGTAAGATGGGTTTCCTGGATACAGCACACTGATGGGTTTTGGCTTTTTGTCCAATTAGCTACTCTTTGTCTTTTGATTGGTGTATTTAGCCCATTTACATTTAGGGTTGATATTGTTATGTGTGAATTTGATCCTGCCATTTTGATGGTAGCTGGCTGTTTTGCCTGTTAGTTGGTGCAGTTTCTTCATTGTGTTGATGCTGTTTACCATTGGGTATATTTTTGGAGTGGCTGGTACTGGTTGTTTCTTTCTGTGTTTAGAGGCTCTTTCAGGAGCTCTTGTAAAGCAGGCCTGGTGGTGATGAAATCTGTGAGTACTTACTTGTTCACAAAGGATTTTATTTTCCTTCACTTATGAAGCTTTGTTTGGCTGGATATGAAATTCTGGGTTGAAATTTCTTTTTTTTTAAGGATGTTGAATATTGGTTCCCACTCTCTTCTGGATTGTAGGGTTTCTGCTGAGAGATCTGTTGTGAGTCTGATGGGCTTCCCTTTGTGGGTAACCCGACCGTTCTCTCTGGCTGCCCTTAGCATTTTCTCCTTCATGTCAACCCTGGCGAATCTGATGATTATGTGCCTTGGGGTTGCTGTTTTTGAGGAATATCTTTGTGGTGTTCTCTGTATTTCCTGGACTTGAATATTGGCCTGCCTTGCTAGGTTGGGGACGTTTTTCTTGATGGTATCCTGAAGAATATATTCCAACTTGGATTCATTCTTTCTGTCACATTCAGGTACACCTATCAAACGTAGATTAGGTCTTTTCACATAGTTTAATATTTCTTGGAGACTTTGTTCATTCCTTTTTACGGTTTTCTCTCTAATCTTGCCTTCTTGTTTTATTTCCTTGAGCTGATCTTCGACCTCTGATAGCCTTTCTTCTGCTTGGTCACTTCGGCTGTTAAAACTTGGGTATGCTTCGTGAAGTTCTCGTGTTGTGTTTTTCACCTCCATCAA